GCAAGGAAAGAGTCGGGGAAAAGGAACTGAAGTACGTTTGGTCCCAGATACTCAAGAGACAGCAGGAAGCCCAGTGTGGCTGAAACAGAGAGCAAAGGACAGGAGTGAGACTTTAGAGAGGGTGGTGATCCCAGGGTGGAACTGGGGCACAGTCTTGGAGATTGAGAGCCAGAGCCCCCAGTATAAGGACTTGTGAGGGAGGTAAGGAGCCACTGAAGAGACTGCTGAAGGGCACTAACTTTGACTTAGTTTTGAAAGGAGCATCTTGGCTGCACATTGAGAAATAAATTGTATAATACATTCACCTCAACTTGTAGGCACTTTCTTCACTCTAAGTCTAAATGACAAATTTATTTATTCATGTTCCCGTTTTCCATGCCTGCCTCCTCTCTTTGAAAATGCAACAGAAAGTAAATCTTGTGGTTTCTGTCATATTATATTTCAAGCTGTTTCAACTTTTATTGAAGTGTGTGTGCTACTTCAGTAATAACAGCTCAGCAGCTGCTGTGCAGACACACACAGCATTAAATAAGGGGTCTAGTCTAAGTAGTTTACACGCATACAAATTATAATTAATTTTAATCTTACATATGAAAAAGTTTACATATTATAATTAATCCTCACAGCACTTTCTGAGATAGGTACTGGTATTGTTGATTACTAATATTTGAAAGCTGAAGAAACCAAAGCACAGAGAGGTTGAATCACTTGTCCAAGATCACACAGATGATGTGTGTGTGTGTGAGTGAGAGTGAGGAGAGAGAGAGAGAGAGAGAGAGAGCGCCAGAATTCCAACCAAGTATTTTGCTTCAGATTTTATACTTGGCTTCAAATTTATACTACCGTTATTTAAAAACCAATATTGTTAGGATTGCAAATAAGTTTCCGATGATTCTCTTAAAACATTTCAAAGATGAATCGAAAAATTAAGACAAAAGGATATCTTAGAGAATGATTTTTAAAACAGGAGAATTTTCACCAAGAAGCCATTAAAATCAACCCTCAGTAATGTTACACCTTGCAAATACAAGACGTAAGTAAACAAAAGACCTCGTGAACCAGGTGAATACTGGTAACTGCAGAGAGCAAACACTATTTCAAAATCTGAAGGGTGTCATTGAACTACATGTAATAATCATCAAAAGGCAGGCTGCACACTGAGACTGAAAAGTTATTTCCACTGCCCATATGTCTCTTTTAAAAATCTTTTGAACTGAGATCTTTTGCTGGTTAGTCTCAGCCAAAAGGTGATTTCTTGGAATGTTCATGTTAATTCATTTCAGCTGCTCTAAAGTCTTACTAGGCCAAAAAATAAAAAATAAAAAAAAGCCTTTTCCATAAGCAAAATTTCATAATTTTTATACTTGTAAACTCAAATCAAAGGAAAACATTGTTCAAGTTGTACTCAACAAGGTGTATCAACTACTGGACATGTCCTCGAAGTTCAATTTTTGGTGAACTGGGGAAGTTAAAGAGTGACTAACAAGGACCATGCAGTAATGCATTTATTTTTGAACGATGACTAGAACAAAAAAGACATGATTGAATTTTGTGGTGATCTGATTGTTAATTATCCCTAATCTTTACAGCGTTTGCTGGTATCCAGAACTCTGGCAAAACATTTTGTCAATGCTGATCAAGTTCCATCCTTCCTGGCCCTAGTTACAGAACTTCAAGGGAGGCTAGACGCCTGCCATGACATGGTGGGGACCGTCACTGGAGCTGTAAAGCCAGCTGCTCTCATAACGACTTTTCTGCTTTGTCAGACTTCCCATTTGGAGAGCTTGAAGATATAAGTCAAGGTGCTTTACGGCAATTGATCTGAGAAGCAGTTGGATAGAGTAAGAAGCCTGGCTTTTGATAGGGATCAATAGACACTTGAAGCCTCGGTCTAACATTTACCGTATGATTTCAGAGAGGAACAGTATATCCCCTTTTAAGCCTTAGTTTCTTCCTCTGTAAAATAGGGGCAACACCTGCACCCAAGTTACTCCGAAGATTAAAGAGTTTTTGAGAGTTTGTGAAATACACATCAAACAGGAAGTGAGGAGACTTATTTTCTCCATAGCAGGCAACATATTCTCCAGTAAAAGAAAGGAAACCCTTTCTGGCCCACTGACACATCCCGTGACACCATTCCAGGCCGGTTTCTAGGAAAGATCACTCCTTGAAACTCACAGTCTTCCCAGGGTTTTGGAGAGAGGGATACAGAACCTCCCAGGAGGAGCCCGGAGGTATGAGGTCAGGTAGATGGGACAGAATGGCTGCCCTTGCACCTGTCCTCACGATCAGCACTGGGAGTAAGGACGGGGAACGCCCTGAGTAAAGGACAAGGGCTGCCAGTACCTTCCTCAACATATTCACTCAGCTCTGCCAGGTGGAGTGTAGCAGAGGCCTCAATCACGAACTACATAGTCTCCGTGTGCATTTTCATGTTCCATCGATAATGCTGGTAAACTTCCCGACTAGACCAGTTGTCTGCATTTACAAACCTGAACACTAAGGAAAGGCCCACAGATCTTCTCCCTTCAAACCTTCACAGATCAGGATCCTCACCTCAAACTTCCACACACAGACACCAGTGAGTGGTCTGAAGAAAGCTCATCTCTGATCACAGAGTCTAAATCGGTATTTCAGTGATTTTCTCTTCTAGGGTTTCACAGAGAGAAGTGCTAGTGGGCTCAGTCAATAAGGGTTGGATTCTGAATTTTCACCTCAGTCTTATAATAATTAGTTTGGCAGTGATAGCCATTTAAATCTAAAAGAGCTCCCTTAAAACATTTTAAAATAAGCTGATTGATATTACTGTACCATCCTTTTCAATTAAAAGTGTATATTTTCATAGGTGTTTGATAATACAGCAAATCCATCATTTTGTTTTTTTTTTTTTTTTGAAACAAACATGTACAAAGCCTTTGATTTCTGTATTTTCTTTCCTCCTCAGCTAAACAAACATTTCTTTTATTTTGGAAGCCTTGAAGATAGTCTAGCCTAAAGAAAATAATACTAACAGGCTGGTGTTATCTAGCAACACAGTTCACATCCTATATTTCTTATAATTATAAAGGTGGTTTTGGTTTTTGATTTTCAGATACAGAAACCTCTATTTGGTGTGTCTCTCACCAAGCAGATTCTGCACAATATCTTGATTTTGGTAAGACCTACCCACTTCAATATTAAAAACATTTTAAAAGTCATTGGAAATAGTTATAGCCAATAAATTGCCTTTTACAAATAGACACATTTCCTCTTCTGGGGGGCTTGATTTTTTTTTTGTTAATTCTATGAATTTTAGATCATTTATTCCTCTTGCTTATTTATCCCTGATTCCTCCTACTTTGTTTAAAAAATATACAGTATTTTAATTGCATAGTACGGGATTCCACTCAGCTGAAGTTCCAGTTTCTTTTGTTAACCCACCAGAGGATCTAGAGAATGTTGTCTACTAAAATTCCCTTTCTCTGCCCAACACCTATCCACACATGTCAAGAATGTACGGCGTTTTAAGCAACTGAAGAATCTTTTCTTGTACATTTAAAACCATGTGTATGAATGAATTTCTTACCTGACTGAGAATACGGCCACATTTCTTCCCTATGCTTTCTACTAAATCAAAAATTGGAAAATTCCACGTATTTAACTGCTCCATAATTGAGTCCAGATTATCCATGACAAGAGGTTCAGGAGCCAGAATCGGTTTGTCCTGTAATGAAGATTAAGGTATTTTAAGGACAGGTCGTTTTTCCGCAAAGCAATTTGGGCTTTGATAAGTTTTAATTGAACAAGTGCAGTAACCATAAACACATGACTTGAACCCCCAGGGTCAAAGCGTCATCTTTAAAAAAAAAAAAAATCCAGATGAACGAGACATTAACCCTGAAGTAAGGAGGAAGTAGCAAATGCTGCACCAGACTATGGGTTTTGCATTTTTAGATCCTCGTGTCTCTCTGGTTCACGAATACTGCAGCAAAACCAGAGATGTCTTTCATAAAGTAACATAACTGCTTTGGGTTTACAGTAGGGTTCTGAAAGATTGAAGGACTTCAAAAAACTCTAGAATGAAAGGTAAAGTTATCTGTGCACATTGTTACATAATTTTTTTAAATGAGGGTTCCTGGCTTACATATAACTCTTTTTTTTTTTTTTTTGAGACAGAGCCTCAAGCTGTCCCCCTGGGTAGAGTGCCGTGGCATTACAGCTCACAGCAACCTCCAACTCCTGGGCTCAAGCGAGTCTCCTGCCTCCGCCTCCCAAGTAGCTGGGACCACAGGCGCCCGCCACAACGCCCGGCTATTTTTTGGTTGCAGCCGTCATTGTTGTTTGGCGGGTCCGGGCTGGGGATTCGAACCTGCCACCTTAGGTGTACGTGGCTGGCGCCTTAGCCATATAACTCTTAAGAGACATCCCTAAGTGGAGAGGGGCACTTAAATCACTCCTCTTCTAATTGATTGAATTTACATTGTTGCATCAAAAACAGCATTAATTTTATGGAATGACAACCACCACGTTTTTTCTGAGATTTTAATTTAGCTCAGTGCGATTTTCCTGAGACACAATCACCATGTAAATGTAAAAACTTTTTAGAAGTCCCCCGTGAGGATATTTTTTGGAGTAAATTTCCAAAAGAAATAGACACTTCTAACTTCTATCAAGTTAGAAGAAAACACAAATTATTTTACGCGAAAATCTATGTGATTTAAAAGTACAGATGATAAATACAGTATAAGAAGAAGGATAAAAACAGAAATCGACAATCCTGTGACAGTCAACTGTGTGCATTTTCTACCGTTCACCACCTCCCCCACATTAACCTGACTCAGACACAGGCTTCCATCTTCTTTAACAGGATCTCATTAAACACAAAATAAGTCATAAGGATATTTTAATGGTGAGGGAAAGGGGGTCCTATGCGTTATATCCATACAACACTACTGCATTTGTAGCCTCTAAATCTATTTTAAAAATCTTTAAAAAAAAAAGATATTTCGGGCGGTGCCTGTGGCTCAGTGAGTAGGGCACTGGCCCCATATACCGAGGGTGGTGGGTTCAAACCCGGCCCCGGCCAAACTGCAACAAAAAATAGCCAGGCATGTGGCAGGCACCTGTAGTCTCAGCTACTCGGGAGGCTGAGGCAAGAGAGTCGCCTAAGCCCAAGAGCCGGAGGTTGCTGTGAGCTGTGACACCACAGTACTCTACTGAGGGTGACAGAGTGAGATTCTGTCTCTAAAAAAAAAAAAGATATTTCAGTGGGTAGCAAGTGTCATGAAAAACCTGGTTTAATGCAACAGGAAAATGAATACTGGCTCACTTTCTAAGTCAAAGATGTGCTAGAGAAAAACCAGCAGATTCCCTGAGACAACTATCTCCAGTTCCCCTCCCTCCCACACTCCCTTCTCCCCTTCTTTTTCTTTCATCTTTCTGTTCTTTCCTTTATAAAATAATGAATGAAATGATTCATTTTTCCTAGGCATATTTATACTTTTTAATTGGGTTAATAAATATTTATAATCATTTGTGAAGACAAAAAAAGTTATGCTTTTAACCAACAGAGAACGACTGTTAAGAAATCATGAAGGCTTGGACAGAGGAAAGCTATACAGGTGCATGTGAGTGTGACTCCAAGTCTTGTGCGATCTGAGGGTGGTAAATTTGTAAACTGACTCTGGGATCTATTTCTAAGGCAGACTCTGTAGTAAACGTTGATTTCTCAAGTAAACAAATGAGGTGAGCCTACCAGGAACATCATGGGCTCAGGCGCGTAAGGGCTGCAAGCTGACGCTTTCCTCAGGGGCTCCCTGGGACACTCAGCCTCATCTTCATTCTGTACAATGTCACTGCTGTCACTGTTGTTATTGGTTTCATAATCAGAGGTAACTTGAATAGTGTCATCTGCAAATGAAAGAGAACCGCTTCTTAGGAAATCTGCACTGGGAAAAAGGGGTTCACAGTTAAGCAAATTTTCCTAAAACACATATGATAAAGTAGAGTGTTTAGGGAAGTATTGCTTTCATGAGCTTATACACCAAGAAAATGGGATCCTAGGGTAGAGAAAAACACACATTTCCTAACCCAATAAGGTATATGAGAATTATGATCTGCAGTGTACATGATGTTCAATAATTCCTCAGTAGGAATTTTTAGATCCTGTGACTTTTTAATTCTTTTTTCCTCTATTCCTCTCCCAATACATTAAACTGCTAAGTAGCTGAGCATAAAGTATTAACTCTAGAAAGGGCACAGGGGGTAGGAGACTGTGTATCCATCCCGTTCCTTGGGGGTTTGCTCCTTCCTTCCTTATCTGGCCCCCTTCACCGGCCCCATTTCAGTCAGCAATAAACTGGGCTAACCAAAAGTCCAGTCAGGCAAAGACCCCCAGAAGCTTCTTCTTGCTAGAAAAGGTAACTGAAGGAAGTTTCCTGGGTGTTTGCTATGTGTCGGGACCAGTAAAAGCATTTTATTTGTATTAACATGTTTAATCTTCTCAATAATCCCCTGAGGCACAGAATATCCCCTTCTCTGTGCCCCTGAACTTCTTAAACTCAACCAGGGCTGATATGATAAGGGAAAGAGTTCACCTTCACGGGCCCACGTACACCTGTGGTCTTTGAGTGTCACCTCTTCCTTTTTATTACAGACTTTTGGATTGAAACTTGTCAATTACATTTTCACACTACGGCTAGCTCTAATATATAAGCAGTTGCTTAATTCTATGTATAATGTTGGCAGTCGCAAGATAAAATACATTTCTATATAGTTCATAGAATAGCCTTTTATATTTTAAAAATATACATTTGTTTTAACTAAATTAATTAGATTAAATAAAATACATAAATTCATTAAAACAACAACCAAAAAAATATATATATTTGTATGATGAGGTACAGAAATATTTTGGATAGCTTTGTGCTAAGACTTTACTCATGATCAAAACTCTAGATAGGATTCTGGATGATTTTGATTTTCCTGGCATTTTAAATATTGTAATTTAAAAAATCAGAAATACAGGCTACCTATTGAGGGGGAGGGAGTGATTTCTGTTTTGGGGAACAGAATCTAAAACAATGAATTACCTGTTCTGCTTGGTATCTGAGTATCTGCCCCACTTCTTTCCAAGGGCCCATCCGCAGGATTCCCTGGGGAGTATGGTCTGCCACAGCTGAGAAATATCAGAACAGCTCTAAGTATAGCTTTTTGTTTTCAAAACATCACAGGCACATACCATTCCTATGTACGTTCGGGTAGACACAATAATCAAGCATTTCCACCTTCTACTTGTTTGATGGGAAATTCATTTTGTCTGAGACATGGTCACCGCTAAGAGGTAGAGGGCTTCCTTTACTGGGAAGACATGATCAACACGAAGGGCTAGAAACTGCCTTTGCCTCTTACTTGACTCCATCTTTGAGGCAAAAGTGGTGGTAAAATACTATACTATATTGTGACCAGCTGCGACTTACCTACGGCAGTGATTCTGGAAGCATTAACATGTATTTGGCCAAAAATATCACCTCTATGGTTTATCTCATAAGGGTACAAGTGAATCTTTCTAAAAGTAGAATATAAACGTCTTAACACAATAACAAGAAAATGACATGAAGGCTATGTTAACCAGTTTGATGAAAATATTTCAAATTGTATGTGAAAACACCACACTGTACCCCATGATTGCATTAATGGACACAGCTATCATTTAATAAAAAAAAATATATATATATCTTGCTTAATGGAATACCATTGAGTCTGCTTAAGAAACCCCCACATTATTAGATTTATTTATTTGTCTTAAAGGTCTGTTTGGATGTCGAATGTCTTAAGAAAAGATAACACAGGTAAATATAGAGCAATAGTATATTAAATTTATTTTTGGCCACAAAATAAAAACAAATTCTTTTTTTTTTCCAGATTGATCAGTCACTTGTTAAGGCCCTGGGGAAGGAACAAAGGAGAGGGGCATTTTAACAAAGAGTGTGTGTGCAGTGGGCCACATAGAACGTCAGTTAATAGACGTAGGCTAGGAGGTACCATGGCAACCAGGAGAACCCAAAGTGCTTGAGAGGTGAACAGTGGCCCCTCACCGAGGGTGCTGGAGGATAAAGAATGCTTTTCCTTTTCTCAACAGTTTGACTGTTTTATGAATTAAAATGTAACCCCAGTCTCAGTGCCTGCGGCTCAAGTGGCTAAGGTGCCAGCCACATATACCTGAGCTGGCAGGTTCGAATCCAGCCCGGGCCCGCCGAACAACGCCAGCTGCAACCAAAAAATAGCCAGGCACTGTGGCAGGTGCCTGTAGTCCCAGCTACTTGGGAGGCGGAGGCAGGAGAATTGCTTGAGCCTAGGAGTTGGAGGTTGCTGTGAGCTGTGATGCTATAGCACTCTACCCAGGGGGACAGCTTGAGGCTCTGTCTCAAAAATAAATAAATAAATAAATAAAAAATAAAATAAAAACTAACCCCACAAAAGGCCTGACAAAGTTCTCAACTGCCTCCTCCCTTTTTATCTTATTTAGAGTCTTCATGATTCGATTTTAATTCTGTATTTTTGTTGCTGGATTATTTCCTTCAAATATGACAAAGGGACTCAGGGGATTTTTTTTGTTGTTGTTATTTAATCACAAATTACTCACTCTAAATTGAAAAAGAAATTGAGCGTTGATTTATTCTTCACTATCTTAAAAGTCTCACCACTTTTTAAATTTTTTTTCTGAAAAAAAAATTTTTTATTATTTATTTATTTTTTTTCCTTCTTCTTGTTCGGGCAGTAGAGAAATGCATTTTCCAGTTAAAGAGTCTCTTTATGTGAGGAACTTTACTTTCTGCCCTTGAAGGTAAGTAGAAAATCATGATGCGTAAAATATTTCCAATTATAAAATCTTCTCTCAGTTTGACTTAGGGAACCAAAGTAAAATGATAGAACTCAAGGAAAAAGAAAAGTAGACGCAATTAACAGGCTTACATTCTCGGATGAAACTCAGTCGAAGTAGTGTTTATTAGCTTTAAGGTTTTTCATGGCAAGATAATACCTAAAAGGACTATTTAATAGTTCAAATATACCAGCTCCCATGCCAAAAAAATAGCTTGTTGCATAGACATTACAGCAGCCAAGAGACTGGGATCCAATGCCAAGCCCTTCAAGTTCAGCGGGGGAAACCACAATAATTAGTTGTGTGTTTCTGGAGCGTTCTGTGCCTACATGGGTGGCTGTCTTGAAGGCTGTAATAAAACCTGGTTTGAATTATAGACTTATGAAGCCCAAACAAATAAAACACACACTACTGGATTTATAAACATTACTGAACAAGTAGACACCGAAATCCCCTTGTTTTTCTCTGAAACTTCTTTTATAAAAATCCCATTACAGTCTTCTTGCTAAGTAATAGACTATGGTAGGAAAAGCTATTAGGAGTGGGACGTGTTTTCTGAATGTCCCTCTTCTTTTCTTTAGGCAACTTAATTCCCACATGGCTGGAATGCACAGTGGGAGAGGCTCCCTAAAAAGCTGAAAGCAGATGTCCTTCACGTAGATCGCCCCCCTGGACTTCATCTGGGCTCGGTGTATGTACGACAAAACAATGCTTCGTAAGCGTGTTCTGCCAAACCTTAGATCCATGAGCAATTATTGGGTGTTAACCAAAATAAACTCATTCTGTGAGGAAATAAATTCAGAAAACAGCAGACGAAACAAAAAATCCAGGGGTGGTCTTTTAAGTGATGTGTACTGTGAATTTCTAAGAGAGAAATGGGATATGTCTCCTAGTTATGTTACTACAGAATATACTGTTTGATGAAAAAAAGATGCGATTAGTATCCAATAGAAATGATTTTATTTAAATAGCTGCCACGGAGAGGGCAGAAGAATAACTAGGATGGTAGGATAATTTTTTACTCTGGCTCTGGCCAAACAAACACAAATAATTTTTCATCTAAATGTAAAGATCACAGAAGTAAAAATGATCACAGAAGTAAAAATAAAGATTGCAAAATAAATAAAATTCATTTAGTCTACCGATCTTATATGTAAGGTATATGAAAATGAAAACGGTGAGGTTTAGCACCAGTTGTTAGTTCCTCAGACTGAACATACTGAGAAAATCTGGGAGTAGGAACCAATATTTGAGACCAGAAAATGAGGATATCACTGACTTATTCAAATGGTGATCCTCAGTAACCTGGGAAAAGAAATACTCTTTTTTCAAGGTACTCTCATGACTATACTTAAAATTACTCAACTTTTTTCTACTTACAAATACTGTAAAGCTTTGAGACCAGTTATTTAAGATGAAGCTGTTACTAAGGAACAATAAAGATAAGTTAATTGGTAAAAAGAGGCAGTTCTTTCTTAGTGACAATGTTGGCAAAATAATTACTCCAGTCACGCTAGGCCCTTTTTTCTGTGATATAATAACTTAAAATTATTTTCATGATGATGCTTAATTGCATTCAGAGAACTTCTTGAATCTAGCCATTATGTCTCAGGTGTCATCCGCACATTTTCAAAGTGTTAAAATGAGAAATGAAAATCTAGGATTAAATGTATTTAACATCAGTACAAACTACTATCTGGAGAACAAGTAAAAACACATAGCAACAAAATGACAAATTACATTACTTGACATCAATTTTTTTTTTTTTTTTTTGGGGCCGGGTTTTCCTTTTTTTGCCTTTTTTGGGTTCTTTTGGCTTCCCGGTTCCCGGCACCTTTTGGTTTTTGGGTTTGGGCATTTGTTTTTTTTGCTTCGGCTTCCCCGTTGGTTGGGGTTCCAGGTGCCCCCCCCACGGCCGGGTTTTTTTTTCTTGCAGTTTGGCCGGGGCCGGGTTTGAACCCACCACCCTCCATATATGGGGCTGGCACCCTACTCACTGAGCCACAGGTGCCACCCCAACATCAATTTTTAATTATGTATTTTCTTCATTCTCCATTAGTATACAAACAACATATATAACTAATTATTTTGTATCACCTCCAAAGATTAGGAGTGTGGACTCTATGGGAATCCACACTTTCTATTAATAGCAAAACCACTAACAAAATAAGCTTCTATTTCAGCCTATTCAACACGAATCATCTTATCCCCTTCTCTCTCATCAAATATTTGGCAAACCTCCCCTGACCTGTGTGGACTGGTGGCAGTTGTTTCCCTGGGGAAAACTATTATTAGTTTTATCATTAAACTCAATTAACAAGAGAAAATCCTTACCTGCTACATATGACAGGTGGAGTCAGGATCTGAGGGGATAAGTCAGGGGCACTCTGAGTGTAAGTTAAGGTCCTGTGAGAGCTTAGGCCTTGTTTTGCAGTTGTGTTAGAAGATTCTGGAAACTGCGCTCCAGAAATTTTGCTGACTGGGCTGCTGGCAGGAGTCCCTTGCAGAGGTGAGGAGCAGGGCGATGAAAGAGGTGAAATTTTAGCTAGGGCACCTGAGAAAGAAGAAGAGTTTAATCAATGAGTAAATGTCTGTGAAAGGCAAAATCGCAACTCCTGAGCGTCTATAAACTCCAGGATAAGCACATGCACACTCAGACGACTGAGCTGGCCTCTTGTGCCTGCCACCATCTGGAGACAGGGTGTGTGGCTGGGGTGTCTCCATGGCATGAAACGGGAGTGATGAGTCATCACCCAAAACTCAGTGGCAGTGTTGGTATATCCAGCTAAAGCCTTGGTGTCCTGGAGTTACTTCAGGACAGAAGGACATTTTCTCTTCCCATTTTTGTTTTTTCTTATCATACTGACACAAAAATAATAGTTAAAATTTTCTCCTGTGTTTGCCTTCTCGTAGGACATTACATTTCTAGCAGGAACAAGATCTGCTATTGTTTTAAACATTAACTGGTATCTGAGCAGAGTTCAACTGGCATCAGATGCTTAAAATACGTAAATAGGGAAGATACGTGTTTGAGCGGCAGTTAACCTTCTTAACCACTCACACTGTCAGTGAAACAGGACCTTTTTGCGTGAAACAGAACTCTGATCCAAATAATTTTCGGAGAAAACATTTTAAAATGAAACGTGATCCATTTCCGATCAAACAATAGGCCTAAAGGTTACATTTCAAGTGTGAGTATTTGTGCCAAACTGTCTGTGTTTACGCTAGATTGTGAGAATTTTATAGGACAACTGGCTTCGATTACAAAGTGCAGCCGTTGGAGGAAAAGGACCATATCTTTTTGAAGTTACTCTCTCCCAAACACAGAGAAAACAGCCGGCACTTAACATTGAAAAAAGAGAGAAATGACTTCTCAACAACTACTGCTTACTGGTTTTCGTGTCTTTACGGCTGAACAACCCAATGTAGGGTCAATGAAGTGAAATTCTTAAACGTTGCTCTCTATTTCTCGCCACTTGAAGGGAAGTTTACAGCCATAGACTTTTATATCATCAAATGATGTATGGGGTTAATTAGCATTAAGTGGACAATAGATTTTGCTTCCAGGCACTAGCACCCTCAAAAGTTTGATTTGTCACACCCAAAGGTTTCCAGCCCATGGAAAAGCATATTAAGTTTGTTGAAGGGTTTTCATAATTTCTTTTACAATTTCTTATTGGTACTGCTATTTGTTTTTGTTTTAAAAGATGAGGAATCTTACTCTTCCTTTGCGTAAGCATGGAGAACGGCTAACCCGTCCTAGTTTCTGAACATTTCCATCGTTGAGCCCTGATGGACAGCTTGTCCCTGATGTTATGTTTAGCAAATGAAACCACTTCCAGAGGTGTCCAACCTTTTTTTCTTTTCTGCCACACCTTGGAAGAGTAAGAGTAGTCTTGGGCCACATGCTAAATATACAGAACTAAGTGCAGCTGATTAGCACACACACAAAAAGGCCCGTGCATACTTTTTTGGTGATATTTGATACCATAAATAACCTAAACAGTCATCAAATAATCTGCATGCAGTCCCCGGGCCACAGGTTGGACACCCCTGAATAGAGAGGTTACAAAAACCTTCTCAGAGTCCCCCTACTAGTAAATGGGAAAATAGAGAGTGAGCCAGCTATTCTCAGCATATTGTGATCTCTCAGCCAGTACTTCTATCAGAGATTGCACGAGGGAGAAGAAAAATTCATGATCTATTAGGAAACATTTGTATCACTTTTTATGTCATAGTTTTTATTTTGCTTACTATTTCTATATAAAAGAGTTAGCTACTTTCCCAAAGGTATTGACAATGTCAAATTTCTTTCACATTACACAGACTCATGAGCCAGAAATAAACTAAATTCACTAAATGTTTAACTCACTTCCCCTGCCAGTGTATCCTTGTGGGCAGCAAGGGTGTTACATTTGTGCTGTGAAGTATCAAGTGGTGGTAAAACTAAAAAAAATAAAATATTGGAAAGTTCCAAGACAAACTCAATGTTTATCATTATTTCTAATCATTAATTTGCAATTTGATTTTCTTAATATAATTTCATAAAATAAAGGAAATCTATTTTTCACCAAGCTCTAAATCCTTTACCATTTTCTAGTGCTACGTAAGACTATGGTATTCACAAATATTATTACACACGTCTGTGCTCTGATGTAAAGAAAGGTTGGAAAGGACCGTTCTAATTTAGACAGTTTGTTTGGATTAAGGCAGACAGAGACCCCAGATAAGCTTAGAAAGGCAGTGTCACCATTTAAGGAGCTGAATCCTTACATGATATGGGACACGTAGAAACACAGGCCCGGGATCCAACCTGCAGCCCGTGGGCTGGATGGAGGTTATGTGAGGACTTTCTGGCTTATCTGTGGTGGCGGATATCACGGAAATTATGCATGGAGCTTTTTGAGTGCTCATCAGCTTTCATTAGTGTTTGTGTATTTAATGTGTGGCCCAAGACAACTCTTCTTCTTCCAATGTGGTGTGGAGAAGCCAAAAGGTTGGACACCCCTGGCAGGTTACCAAGATCTCTGCACTAAGTATCTCTGTGATTTATTGACTTAGCAAATATTTATTGTGTTTTCAGGGTTGGAGTGGTGAGGAAAAGAAAATCCCTGCACTTGTGGAGCTCCCACTCTTAGGGGAGATGGAAATGAATAAATACAAATCAATATAACAGGAGAAAGAAATGTCTTGAAAATGAGATGGTTTGGGAAACCTCTGGGGTGGGAGAAGGGTGGGGGGACATCTAAACAGAGGCCTGAGTAAATAAAAAAGATAGTTAAATAAGTATCCCCTCCCCGGAAAGCATACTCCAGCCAGAGGGATACACCTGGGGGATGTCAGAGGACCAGGGGGAGGTCAGTGGTTGGCAGCTTAGTGAAGAGGACAAAGGGGGTAGGAAATGGGGGTCAGAGAACTGGGGAGGAGGGGCTGTTGGTTAAGACTCAATAGGGCTGGGTAGGTCCAGGAAAAGGTTTTAATTGCTCTGAAGAAAAAAAAAAGGAGATTCCTGATAGACATTCCTTTAGGTAAATCTTCAACTATTCTGAGAGCAAATTATGAGTTTTGAATAGTTTTCTACCACTTTTTTTTTTTTTTTTTTTGAGAGAAAACTGTAATTCAAAGCCCAGGGGAACACCATCCATTTCTGTCTTGACACAATGGATTTTCTGAAGGCCATTTATGAGAAGAATCATTTTTTTCTATGCTAACTTTTTTTTTCTATGCTAACTTTTAGTAGCTGCTGATTGAAACCACCAGAGACATGCAATTCATTCTCACATATACATTTAAAAATTCGCACGCCATTAGAATTCATGGAGCCATGGATTAATTTTAAACAAACAAGCAGACATGAAGACCCAAATGGACTGGGGCGGGGTGGGGGTGGGGGGAGATGAGATTTGAAATAACCCTGTGACGCAGGGGAAGAGCTTTACTGTTATAGTGTTGTTAGTCTGAATATTTTGAACACTTCTCACAAGCAAAAGTCTCGGCAACAGCTATGAGAAGCAGGGATATTTTTATTCTACAGGTTGAAAAGATAAAGGTATAAACATATCAATTCCTTTTTGCCAGAGCCATATTCCTGTTCTTCTCGGTGTGGATTGCTGTAGTTTACTTAAAGACACAGAAGTAGGAAAGCTTTTGGAAGTGAATACATATTTGCAAACACATATACACGGTGTCCATAAAGTTCCTGAGCAATTTACAATGTAAAACTATTTTAAATGACACACAAACTTTATGGATACTCTATATTAGTCTTCAAATGCATGGACAGAGAAATACAGATAATAATCAAGTGTTCTTTCTAGAAATAAGAGACAACCACTAAGTGATTTCAGATTCAGGAAGAGGCTTCTCCAAGAAAATGGTAGGAATAACCTTCTTTTAAAAGCAGATTTACTAAGATGCTGTAAGTGTAATCATGTCTATGGTTAGAGCAATGACTGTTTCTTTTCTTTTCCCTTAGCGCAGAGAGTTTTTTTTATTATTGTGTAATTTCTGCTCTGCTTATGTTACATTTCACCATTCTTATTTCTCTACTTCAAATATAACACTTTTTATTTTTTTTTTTGTCAAATCATAGCAGTGTGCATTAATACTATCATGGGGTACAGTGCACTGCTTCTGTATACAATTTGAAATACTTTCATCCAATTGGTTAACATAGCCTTCATGTCTTTTTCTTAGTTATTGTGTTAAGACATTTATATTCTACCTTTAGAGAGCTTCACATGTACCCTTATAGGAGGAACCATAGGTGTGATCCCACCTATCACCCTCCCTCCACCCGCCCTTCCCCCTCCCCTTCCCTCCCTCTCCTCTCTCCCCATATTCCTGGGCTAAAATTGGGTTATAGCTTTCCTATGAAAGCTATAAATTAGTTTCATAGTAGGGCTGAGTACATTGGATACTTTTTCTTCTATTATCACACTTCTTAAAATGGCTTAAATACTTAAATTATCACATATTCTAATTTAGTAATATGTGTTGTAAAATGTTTTCAAATTTAGTAATGTTCCATTTGAACAGAAATTAAAGAGAGGAGGAAGATTTTTCTTCAAGCATTCTCAAAAGTGACTACAATAAATCTGAAGGCCTGAGTTCTAGCCCTGACCCCACCACTGACTCGGTAGCTTCCTTCTCTGGTTACTAGTTTATACAATCTAAACAAAGGCAGGACACAAAAAAAATTCTTACATTCCCCCTCCATCTCTGTTATCCAATAAGTCTATGAAGAAGGAAAGTGATTCAAGAGCTCCTGGTCAAGTTCTGTCGTTAATAAAAAAATTCCAAATAAAACTTTGTCTTCTTTTTCATATTACTTTCATCTATTTTAAGCACAAAAAAGTATAACAACTATTAATATTTCCTCACCAGTGCTTCCAACTCCTTTTACTTGGAAGTTGGTGGCTCACGTAATGTCGGACATTGGAGTTCCAGTGTCTCTTATCTAATCTATGCAAATGTAAAATAATTATTCTTTTTTTTTTCCTATTTTTTTTATTGATTAGTAACTATGTACATTAATGCACTTCTGGGGTACAG